CCAGCTGGACCGCACTCTCTCTACTCAGAGGAAACATCTGCTCCTGCCACATGGCTGCCAGGTCCCAGGGGTGCCTGGCAGCCAAATCCGGTCACTCCCTTTCACCTGTGGACCTCTTATTTTGCCCACAATCCAGTTCTCTTCTGTTTTGCCGCCGTCTCTCTGATGTGTGCCTTTTGTTCAACACAGTAACCCCTGCACTCTTCCTAGTTCTTCTACACTACTGAACAAAACTCTTCCTTATTTTCAATAAATGTCCGATGCTATTTAAAAAGAAACTGAGTCTTAGTGACTATGGTACCTCTCCCTCTTTGGCCCAGTACATGGGTCCTTGTCTTTTCAGCAGGTATGTCCCTGGCTTTCTGTAGTCAGACAAATCCTTGTCATCTCAAAACAGAAAAGAGTGTTAGTGGAGGTACTGATAATTGAGATCCCATTGTGGAGTATTCATTTTTTTCTCCCATTTTTTGTGCCTAGTAAGTTGGGTCTGTGGTAGAGTCCTGATTTAGAGACCCACATAATTGGTACTAATACACATGACAAAAAATATACTTGAAACATCGCATTGACAGAAATGGATGAAATATTAAATGAGTGACAATGAAGAAAAATAGGCTAGCAATTGTGAACTCATGTCAATTGAAACTCCATACCATATATCAAAATAAGTCAGAGATAAATTATTTTTCCAGTGCCAAAAGTGGAGAAACTACTAAAATTCTCTCAAAATTATATGAATCCTCTATGTGCATGCTTCTTTACATGGAGCAGAAGCAAAAACCTATTGTAGAGAAATAATTGATGAACCCAGAGCCAGAAGCCAGAGTCGAACTAAAAATTGCTTTGGTCAGAAACAAAATGTAACCCACAACAAACAAGCGGTAAAGAGAAAGTCTGGGTTGTTTTGTGTTTTTTTTTTTTTAAATAAGTATCACATATCAAGTGTGAGAGTTGGGTCCCTTTTTATTAAGCCTATATTTTCCATTTGACTTTGTGTTCTTTAATAGCACCCTAGGTAGGACTTCCCCTGGGTTCAAAAAACGTGCTGTTCTTCAGTGTGAGGGATAAATGTTAGGTTGAAGAAAATACTCTACTCTAGTAGTTAGGCCTTGGGGATGGTGACCTGTTCACTTTCCTGAAGGTATGGCTACTGCTGGGAAGGACTGTTGCACCAAAATATTCTATTTCAGTTGGTAATTATTCAGATGACATGGACTTTTTTTAAGATTTACTTATTTATGCATAAAAGATTTGGGGTACATGAAGAGGTAAGGGGCATGAGGATTCACCAGAGACATACTGGGGAGCAGAACAGGCAGATATACTGAAATACACTGCTGAGGGGAGCAGAGGGTGAGACGGGAGAGGTCTGCTGTACCAGGTAGGCAAGCTCCCTGGTGGGGGATCAAACTCTTGATACAGTGGCTGTCCATAGCCTGACTGGACTGTGTCCCCAATCCCTGCCCCACCAGGTAGGTCCCTGACATAGAGTTTTTTTTTTTTAAAGATTTATTTGTGCATACAGAACTGGGGTACAGGCCAGAGGCTCAGGGGCAGCGAGAGGATTCACCAGAGACAGAGTGGGGAGCAGAACAGGCAGATCTACGAAGTACACTGCTGAGGGGAGCAGCGGGCAGGTCAGGAGAGGTCTGCCATGCCATGTGGTCACCTCCGGGGCAGGCGGGAATCGAACTCATGCGGAGGTGGTTTCAGATTCTTAGTGCTGTGCTTTAACCCGCTGCGCCACCAGGGAGGGCTGACATAGACTTCTTTTTTTTTTTTTTTAAAAGATTTATTTATTTGTGCTTACAGAACTGGAGTATAGGGCAGAGGCTCAGGGGCGGCGAGAGGCTTCACCAGAGACAGAGTAGAGGCTTCACCAGAGACAGAGTGGGGCACAGAACAGACAGATTGACGAAGTACACTGCTGAGGGGAGCAGCGGGCAGGTCAGGAGAGGTCTGCCATGCCATGTGGTCACCTCCGGGGCAGGCGGGAATCGAACTCATGCGGAAGTGTCTTTAGCTTCTCAGTGCAGTGCTTTAACCCGCTGCGCCACCAGGGAGGGCCGACATAGACTTCTTAATGCACCACAATGTCTTAGTCATTCCTGAGAGGATATCTTTATGTTTTCCAAGAGCATAATCATGCTAATGGTCTCCAGTGTGATATCTAGACTAAGGATGCCATCTGCTTACTGATCTTAGTGGTTACTGTGAAATACCAACAAGATTACTGTCTAGCTAAACTCTCCACCACCCTCTTACTTTGGAACAAGAGTAATTGGGTAAGATTTTTTACAGAAAAACAGTAATAGTAGAAATCGCCACTGATCAGCCTCCTTAAGGCAATTATATCACCAGTGCTACCTTTCTTACAGGACAGAACTCCAGGTACCAGGAGTGGTGAAGGGAGCAGGCAAGAGACAGAGTAGCCCAAAAGGCCACAATACACACATATAATTGCATGTTAAGGAAGGTGCCACAAATCAATAGAAAAAGGGTAAAATATTCAATGAAGGATATGTTCTTAAGAATCTGTTTGTTTTTTTTTTTAAGATTTATTTATTCATACAGAATTGGGGCACAGGCCAGATATGCAAGGGATGAGAGGATTCACCAGAGACAAAATGAGGAGCAGAACAGGCAGATGTACTGAAATGGACTG